CACTCTATAGCTAGTTGACATGAGATCAGATCAGATCAGAATAGTGAATGCTCTGGCCTTTTGAGTACAACAAGATCATTTTCTTGGAGGAGTGGAGAAAGGGAAAAAGGAGACGAGTCAGAGAAAGGAGCAGCCACATTCAATATTTGCCTGCTCAACCCAGGAGTCAGCTGCTCTCCCTGACGAAAAACCAGTAAAACCCACAGGGCCGGGAAGAAAGGACCCGGAAAATGGTTTACCAGGACCATGCGTTTTGCGCCATAATATAGCTCACGCAGGCGCATTTAAGTGGTGCGGCCTTGCATGTTCCCTGACGAGGTGGGTCCGCCTACAGTACACGAAGTATACAAACAGGAAACACATCATGGGGAAGATTGAGGGGAAAACTGAAACAATGTGAGATTTCATTAACAAAGGAAGGCTATTTGGCGTCAACTTTTGAAAGAAACTTCCGCTCTACATTGCCAATGTCCGGAGCTATTAAAATAGTACTCCGCCCTTCCGTATCAAAATATAAAAACTTTTTGTAGGCTAGTTATTTAGCCTACAAAAGGTGGTAGTAGTTTAGGCTAGGTATCGCGAAAAGTCATTTAGCCTAAAAAACATCTTATATTTTGATACAGAGATGGTAGTAGTTTTTTTTGGATGCGCTCAATACCCTCTAGGCTTTTAGAGCAACAGAGTAGTTATATCGGCCCAATCGCCATAATAGTAATTATATGTATGATGATTTTGGTTGAAAAAGTCACCTAGCAAAATTGTGACCGGCGACGAATCATCATAATTTAGGGACGTCGCTCCACGTTGAACCCATGAGGCTTCATATTTGGACACTATGGGGAGTTGGTTTCGAGCGTGTTCTATCCGCCAACCGCTTGTTCGGAAGGCAAGTTTCACCTCCATCTCCAGCCCCCAATGTCGCCCATCTCCTCTCCCTGCAACGGTGTAGACGACCGGACGCCCATGGCTCGGGGAAGCGTGACAATAAAATCACGGCTGCACACATCCTTTCCCCTCATGTTGTTTTGCCACCAGCGCCCTTCCCCACCACGTTTTTCCCACCCGCACCCACATTTTGAACACCAATCATGTGAAAATATTGCTAACTGAATTTTCTCCCCATCTATGTAAAAACTTTGTAACGTACTACCTCCGTCCTGGTTTATTAGTCCCTTTAGTATTTTGTGCAAAACTTTAACCTTAGATTTAACTAAAAAATGCTAATGCATGTAACCAAAAATAATATCTCTCAAAACTATGTTCAAATACGAATCCAGGGATATACTTTTTGCTAACATGTATTATTATTTACTTAGTTAAATCTATGATCAAAATTTGGCATAAAATATTATGGGGACCAATAAACCAGGACGGAGGTAGTAACTCAGTTAATTGTTTCAGTCTCTCAAATTGAGTGTGCGACTAATGAGGTGGCACAACAGGAAACATGGAAGAAATGAAAATATGTGATTGCGCAATAATTCTGCATTCGATATTTGCATATCATCTCTGCAACCTTCATCAAATATTATTGACTAGAAGTTGCCCCTAAAGTGTTCCTAAGCTTATCCGCAAAAAAAAAGTGTTCCTAAGCTAATGGCCAGGTGCCCCTCAGAAAACAATCACCGGGTGAGAAGAAAGGCTGTATCCAACAAATACTACTAATACTGGCTCCAAATATTAATGGAGGCAAACGAGTCTTGTTTCATCAATGCCGTCCGCGTCGCACATTGCTTTCAGCTCCTAGGACGGAGCAATTCCGGAAGTGGCTTGGGAGGAAATCCGCGTCGCCGAGGCCGAGCAAAGACGTCCCCTTCGGATCTGGTGGCGAGACCACATCGAGCTTCCGGAACGGTACGAGGGCAGTGGATCACGTATGGACGCATCGGGTTCTCTTTTCCGGTTACAGCCCAGACACCGGGCATGCATACGTACTGATGGCGGCGATCCACTTCAGCAGGCGATTCAAAGTTTTTTATTTGCACTAATTAAACACCGGTTGGAACCGCGGCGAGCTCAGCTAGCTACTTAGTGCCGAATCACCCAACCACTCTGCTATTCTATGCACTGCTCTGCTCTGTTGGAGACTTGACCTCGAGCGTTGGGTTTGAATACGATCTAAGGGTTTTGTTGCCGTAGCATAGCTGATTGGACGGTCCACGACGTACATGTTGAGTACGATCTCCGTGTCTGCTTAGGAAGAGAAAAACTGTCCTGTGCGTCACTGAAGATGCGAGTAAGAGCATCTGCAGCCGGCATCCTCAAATTCTTCTCAGATCGCGGACGTGACCGACTAGTGATTGGACAGAAGAGAGGGGAAAAAGTGACTCAACCGGACCTGTCATATCATCTATACAAAGTCGAGCTGTCTGCGAGACTTGCGGGCGCACCCAAAAACACCCGGACAGTCTGTCATGTAGGACGCGGCCCACCCTGGACCATCTTTTTCTTTCTTTTCATTCTCTCTTCATCCCCATCAATCACGTTCAAGTAATCTGACATATAAAAAAAATATGACGCATAGACGGACAAATAGGGGCTTAAAACGGACACGCCCGGTCACTGACCGGACGCGTCCGCACACGTTTAGGGGTTAGATTTAGTAAGTCCGGCTGTAGATGCTCTAATGAACTATGGTATACTAGCTGCCAAGAAAAGGCCATGAATTGTTCTTGGAAGCAAAAATGGATGTATGCCGTGAATGAAGCGAGTAATGTGACGATGCGCACTGAAATCGGACTTTTCGTCGCGGCCAGGTACTCCTACATGACCGAGAGTCTGAGATTGACCCATGCATGCATGCAAGCAAACAAGCTCTGCTCTACGTCAGGCTTGGAAAAAGGTTAGATGCAGAAAAGAAATAACACGGTTAAGCCGTCGAGAAGACGCACATGCGCTCGTGCTCGTGGCCTTGTGACCGCGAACGATGCCCTCGCCGCTGCTGCTGCTGCGGTGGTCCTGTGGCGATTGGCCATGGCCACGGGGAACATCGGAATAAATTGCAAAAGCCATTCCAGGCCTCGCGATTGCAGGTTGGCAGGATTTACAGAGTGTTCCGCCAGTCTCCCTCCCTACTAGACCGTACGGCGTACTGCGTGCTGCTACTGACTGCTGCTACGGTACATATACTGTAAGTTTCTTCCTCCGTAGTCTCCGCCGAGTGTTTGCATTAAGGACGGTGGCGATCGATCCGGTTGGACTGGGACTAGTAGGCATTTCGTCCCACGAACTTGATGGCAAGACCAATTGTACATGACCGAATAAGGATGGGAAGAAGGAGAAAAGACTGAGTCTTTCCTCTGTCATTTTTAGAAACGGGCAGAATTCCCCAAGGAGGAACTTGCTGAAAATGCATTTCACACTCGCCGAGATGCAGCGAAGGGCGGCGAGAAATTGAATAGCAGAGCACTTGCCCGAAACGAAGAACCGGCTAATTCGAGAAACCACTTAAGCCGCGACGCATAGGGCCCAGCACAGCAAATTTAATCCTCGGCCACCTGCACAATCCGGGACTGCGAGGGGAGGAGTCCAGCAGTAGCAGCACCCCTGGAATGGAAACGGCGGGCGAGCGATCGACCCCTGCAAGTAAGAACTAAGAGAGTAACCAGGAAGGAAGGAGACGATGGACGTGAAGAATTCTGAAGCCCAGCCCCGGGAAAGGAAGCGGAGCTGACACGCTCCACTTATGGGGCGCGGCACCGAATTGAATGAGTGGAACAAATGGTTTCCCAGAATCGCCGCGACGTTGCCATCAAGTCAATCGTCCAAACGGACGGGGAAAGCCCCCGTCGCCTGTTTCGGCCCCGGGCCATGTTGCATTGCATGCGCGTCGATAAGGCACGCACAACACGCATCTCCGTCTCGATCGATCACCAGCACCAGCACGTACGTACTACAGCGTACAGGACCGGCCAGCGGTGTAGGTAGCCCGGTGGCCCCTCCCCGCCGGCCCGCCGGCGCCGTGCACGTTGCCGTTTCTCGCAACCAATACCAGTTAGATCTTGCGTGCATGCATACGTTTTTCTAGGGTAAAATCTTGCATCTGCCATGGCGGGAGCCAGGGAACCGTTCGTTTCATCGATGAGGTATGCTAGTGGCCAGTTACTGGTAGGAGAAATTGGACTGGATTCGGTTTGCGTGCGCATGTGCGGGAGGTGGCAATGAAAATA